TCAAATTAAATTTCGTGTTTAAAAAGAATTTTTCGGTATGATATCAAAAATTTTATTTTAAATAGGATAGTTAGACCCATGTAGGGCATCTTTGCCTCTTTGGTTAGTTGGGCAGATTTGAAAAAGATTATAATAGGTAATCCTTAGAGGTAGTTTAGTAATTGAGTCTGGTCTTTGATAATTTAGAAGTCTCATATTTAATCACTTCTCACACTTCTTAAAAGATAGTCGTCATTGTTCCTTTAGGGACATGTTCTAACCTAACTCAAGTTACGATGATCAATCACTTAATTCGAGAGAATAGTCTGCACAAACTTGAATACCCTGTAACATAAAAAAAAGGATTACAATCGATCACCCATTCCAAACCTAAAACTGGTTGGATTATTATGGTGGAAATGTGATCTATTTTTATTCAATCTCTTTCACAGCTAAAAGTTTACAATGGAGCTTTTTACTTTAATTTATCATTTTCTATGTTAAAAAAAAGATTAAAATCTTCTCTTTGTTCCGGGTTTATGGACTAAACTGCTTGGCATTGGAGAGGTAAAACAATTTTTGAAATCGTCCTGAAGATTGACTTATTATTAGGAGTGTCAATCGTATCGTATTGTATAATTTTCGTGTTGTCTCACTTTCAATCATATTATTTTCATGTCGTGTCTTATCACTTTCGATCGNCTCTCTCTCTCTCTCTCTCTCACATCGGCGTCCTGCTCTTCTGATAAAAATGAAAAAAATTATAAATTAATCCGAACAAAACTATAATTTAATAACTTGAAATTAATCCTAATAAATTATAACGTAATCCGAGTCAATCTTAAGTTATGATGTTAAAATTATGTTTAATTTTGGAATTAAGAAAATGTTTTATGGACTAATTAGTGATTGGTTGAATAATTTAATCATGCAAGTGCGACCCTACAACCGAGAAGTTCGTTTGTACGATATGAGAATGTGAAACGGAAGTAATGATACTTTGTCCCTTAAATTTTTTTATTATTCCTTAATACCCATTAGAATTAACATTGTACCTTCATTTTTTTTTTAATTTTGTCTTTGAGAAAATCTCATTTTAGAATTTGAAAAATACAAAAAAAATTAGTTTGTCCACTCGAATGATTTATTTTTTCACATTGTCCCTCAAATTAATAAAAATATTGTAATGTGATCTAAAAAAAATTTATACTGCAACATTTTTGAGTGTAAATTACAATGTTTTTGGACCCGCATTGAAAAAAAAAAATTTCTTTGAGGGATAATATGAGAAAATTAATTATTCGAGAAGTAAGTTGAGAATTTTTATATTTTTTAGAAGATAAAATTGAATTTTTCTTGTTTAAATTTTTTTTATAATTTGCAACATTTTACTCGTTTGAATTTGTTTGTCAGTCTCGCTCTTTATTTTTTTTTCCAAATTTAAAAATTAATGATATTTATCTAGATCAATTGTAATTTCTAATATCATATGATATTAACTTTTAAATTCAACTGCTTTAATAAATTAGATCTCCAAATTAAATTTATAAATTAAATTTAAATAATATTTTTCGTATTTTTCTACCAGAGTTCTTGAAAAAAATTAATAGTGTGGGACATTAAAAAAAAAATTCCCAACAATAATAATATAATGATCATTGTCCCAGAGCATTGTACTTTACTTGAGCATCCACCATACGCGCTAAGAAGGAGAGTGGTGAAAATAAACTATGGTTTAGGGAATACAAAAAATAGAGAGTTGCACTCAAGTTCTCATATATTTATCACTTAATCACTAAGATTCCCTAACATTTAAAATATTATACACAAACCTCCTGAGGTTTGTATATGCGTAATACTTAAACCTCTGTCGTCAATGTCCATTAAAATATTCATTAGTAAATTACATCAAAATATTTTGAAATTTGTAGGCATGTAATACTTAAATTTTTGAAATTTAGACAAAAAATACACCAAATAAAGATAGAATATCAAATATTTTAAAATTTTCAACCAAAACTCATGTGTCTATTATAACATTTATTGAAATGAAATTAAAAATAAAAATATAATTTTTTTAAAAAAATTTATATTTAGTATATAATTATAATATCTATTAGAATTGCATTTGGTTGTTTAAACGACCAAATTATCCAAACTAAAACTAGAATATATTATGTCCAATACAATTTGATCCCTTATTTGATTTTTAATTTTATTCCAATAGATAGTACAATTGTATTCTAATTATAATTTTTTAAGAAAAAAAATTAGATTTTTATTTTTAATTTTATTTTAATAAATAACATAATAGAACTTGCATTTTTGTTTGTAAAATTAATTATCCATTATGAATGACTTAGATCCCTTTATTTTTTTAGTTTTATTCCAATAGATAGTATAATTATATACTAATTACGATTTTTTAAGAAAAAATTGATTTTTTATTTTTTTGACTTTATTTCAATAAATGATAAAATAGAATATGAATTTTGTTTATAAAATTTAAATATTTGACATTTTATCTTTGATTTGTGTATTTTTTGTTTAAATATAATATTTTAAACTTTAGAGGTATAAATATTATACACTTATATACTAACAAATATATTAACGAATATTTGACTGTTGGGGTCTAAGTGTTTGACGTGTATAAATTTTAGAGAAATTGTGTATAATATTTTAAATATAAAAACAATTGAGTGATTAAACGACAAACCTAAAAAGTCTAGGTGTAATTATATATATATAAAAAACGAAAAATAGATACAAGCTGAGAAGTGAGAGAAGCCCATTGGTCGTTACAAGAACAAAAGAGGCAAATGGTGGGCCTCTTCCTGTACTCTTGGATTGGGCTTTTCTGGGATGCTTTTCCTTTTTTAGTATTATTCCCTTCTCCTTTTGTCACGCCAAAACCCACCTGCCCCACTGCCCGTGGCTCTTTCTCACAACTTCTCTTCCATAAATACCCTTTGTTTTCTTCTAATTTACAGTAATACCCAATAATAATTTGGGTAGCAAATAAGGGGACACTTGTTTATTAATAATTCTTAATTCATTTAGATCGAATTTTGTTCAATTTCTTTGATTGACAGGACTATGCTCGATTTTAGGACCCAATTGATAAACATGTCACACTCCATCGATAAGTTTTTCCACTTGTTTATACTGATAACAAAAAATAATATGTATATACGTGTAAAATATTTTTTTATTTTATAGAATCAACCATATAAACAACTAATTTTAGTGTTAAGAAAATTACGGTATTTACAATGCGATAATACATTACTTTTCAATGTTCAGTCTCAACGAGTCGAGTTTTATTATTGGCAACAACTCAAAACTTGACTTACGTACAAATTTAAGTCGTTCAATTGCAATTGAGGTTTAATTTAAAATAATAATTAATGAGTTGAGATTAAAGAAAATAAAACTCGTTAAGTTTGATCTTAAACCTACAAACACTCTTGCAAATAAACACAACAGGCTAAAATAATGAATATACTATAGTGTTGAGATTTTATTTTTTAGTATTATATCGAAAATCAATTTTCAAACTATATCTAATTTTAAATTATTTTTATCCAAATTGTGAAAAAGTTAAAATTATAAAACTTTACAAAGATCATCTTGAGTGAAGAAAAAAGAGATGACATAAATAGCATTAATCTAACGCCCAAAACAATATCTTACTCCATGGATTCGGTTCATTTACATCACCAACAGCGAAAACAAGATTGCAATTTGTACGAGAGAGAGAGTGATAGAGAGATTGGTGAAGGCGATTTGTGAGTTGTCACGTGAGGTGAATGAGTGAATTGAAATGATAATTAGTTGCTAATAAAGGTCGTTGAGTGATTAGTCATCTTCCTAGTCTTGCTGCTGTCTATTACCATTAGTGGCTAATGTGGAGAGAAAGACGAAGAGAGAGAATCCTTTTCGATTTGGCTAACGTCGGGAAGTTGTGTAAGAAAGAGATGGTTTTTTCCTTCCCATTTCCCTCTTTTGAACAAGTAATAAGAAAATCAAGAAAAGAGAGACAACAAGAGGGGTAGATTCGAAGATGGTAAAGCAGTACAGTTTAAGAAAGAGAGAATTTATTATACAGAAAAACCAATCAGACAAATAAATATTTAAAGTAGATATAAAGAAAGGGAGTTGCCCTCTGTTTTGTAGAAATAATAGAAAGGAAGAAAAATATATTTTTTGTCTTTTGTATTTAATAAGATGAATAGAAAATAAAAATAATAAATTCTTTTATGTTTGACATTAATAAATAAATAAAAAGATGAAAAAATATAAATACATAATATGTAATTTATTAATATGATATATGTATATATCAAATGATATATTGATAAATAATATACATTTTAAAACACATGAAATTTTATCAAATATAATATTTTATTTATTATTTTAATTTTTCATTCTTTTAATTTTTTAGTCGTTTAATTTTTTTATCGTTCTAAACATTGAGATCAATACTATGAATGAATTTATGAATGATCGATGAAAGAAAGAGGGTTTCTACGTTAAAAGTCCGAGTCGAGTCAATGAGAAAAAGAGAAGATACAAGAGGGTAGAGAGAGAGAGAGGGGTTGCTTCTTTCGGGAAGAATCCTTATACTGGCCTCGTCTATGCTGTATTGGGCAGTTAGGGATACACAAGATCTAGTGGAACATCTCTCCTAAGAACTTTTTTTGCAACAACAACAAAGCCTCTGGGAGTCTTAGGATTTTATTTTCACTATAGACTCGTCCAGTCTACCTACAGTTCCATTTATTCGTTATTTTATTTTATTCCAACATCTATCGTGTATATATATATATATATATATATATATATAGAGAGAGAGAGAGAGAGAGAGAGAGAGAGAGAGAGGAACTTCTGCAGCTACCACCCCAACCAAAATTTTGTCGATGATGGGAGATCGGTGGTCTCAAATCTAACTTTTTAAACCCATCTTGCAGTTTTTTTGTTTTTTTTGGGCTTTTGGAGATCAAAGTGGTAGAAAAATGTGGAATCTAAACGATTCTCCTGATTGGAGAAGAGACGATAAATCGGAAGATTGTTCTTCGCCGGCTGACGGCGATGACGACAAGGGTAAAGGGATTGGATCCGTGTCAAATTCGAGCTCATCAGCGGTGGTAATTGAAGATGGTTCAGAAGAAGAAGACGGAGAAAAAGTTAGAAAGAAGCGAAGCAGCATGATATTTGGGTTCTCGATGAACGATACCTGCTCGTCGGAGACTGAACCGCCTGTGACCAGGCAGTTTTTTCCGGTGGATGAGACAGAAATGGGTATAATATCGGGTACCAACGGTGACAGTGGTGGTGGGGATACAAGTGTTTTTCCTAGAGCCCACTGGGTGGGGGTTAAATTTTGCCAGTCGGAGCCTCTCGGCGGCGTTGTAGGTAAGTCTACGGAGGTTTCACAGCCACCAAAGAAGAGTCGCCGTGGCCCGAGGTCCAGAAGTTCACAATACCGTGGTGTTACCTTTTACCGGAGGACCGGCCGGTGGGAGTCACATATATGGTTAGTCTTTTCAGAATTTCTTCTAGTTTACCTAATCTTTGTTAATCTTGTTTTGATTCATTCAGTCACCATTTTCCACTTTGCTGTTTCAGGGACTGTGGAAAGCAAGTATATCTGGGTATGTTTTCTCTTTTTTATGTCATTTTCCTGGTGGAAATTAGTGCTCTCTTTGGGTCTAAGTATGAAGAAAATTTTTTGTTTTTTTAATCCTTTTTTCTTATGCTTTTTAATTCTGACACTGGGAAGATGGGTTTGTTCTTGGAAATTTGGTACAGGTGGATTTGACACTGCCCATGAGGCTGCACGGTGAGCTCTTGCATCTTCACTCTCTCAGATTGTACACAACTCTTGGAAAATTTTGAGAATGATTTTAGTTTCATTGTTCCTTTTTCAGTGCATATGATAGAGCGGCCATCAAGTTCCGAGGAGTGGAGGCAGACATAAATTTTAGTCTAGATGACTATGATAAGGACCTGAAACAGGTAGGTAGGTCGATCGAGAGAGAGAGTTTCATCTTATCTTCAGAGTTTCGTTTGTTATTTGCTTAAGTAGAGCGCATAATATTCTCATAAATTTTGCAACAGATGAGAAATCTGACGAAGGAAGAGTTTGTTCATGTACTTCGGAGACAAAGTACTGGGTTTCCTAGAGGAAGCTCCAAGTATAGAGGAGTAACCTTGCACAAATGTGGAAGATGGGAAGCTAGAATGGGCCAGTTCTTAGGCAAAAAGTAAAAAGTTTAATCCTTATCCTATTCTTTGGATCCATTTATCAAAAATCATATATACCTACTCTTGGTTAGCAATTTATTTATTTATTTATTTATTTTCTTTTTGGGAGTCTAGTCTTGTCTTCGTTCATGGTCATTGAAATTCTTATGTCAAAATTTTGGTGTGAACAGGTATGTGTATTTGGGTCTCTTTGATACTGAAATTGAAGCTGCCAGGTGTGTTCATTTAGTGCTGACTTTTTTCAATTTTAACTTTAGATTGCATTGCATGAAAACATCTTGAGTTGTAAATGTAATTGTTCTGCGGATTGAAATTTCTAGTAATTTTGTGTAGGGTTTATGATAAAGCTGCTATTAAGTGTAATGGCAAGGGTGCAGTGACTAACTTTGATCCCAGCATTTACGAAAATGAACTTAATTCTGGCAAGTAGTGAATTTGTTTTGGCTCCTGTGCAGTAAGAAAGATCAGTTCATATTCTTGAAATTTATCTCAATAATGACATCAATTTGGTCATATATATGTTGGCCAGAATGTTCAGGGAATGAAGCAGCTGACCACAACCTCGATTTGAGCTTGGGCAGTTCAACCTCAAAGCAAAGTACTCGAGAATTGAGGGATGATAGTCACAGTGCAATGGATCAGGATTTTGCAGCAATGCAATCTGAAGTTGATTGGCGAAATCGGGGATTTAGGCCCCAGGTATATGGTCAAGCATTAGCCTAATTTAAATCTCACCTGTAAACTGTCCTCCCTAAATACTAGGTTTTTGTTTTGTTTTTTTTTTCTGCTGAAGTACTAGGTTTTTAATTGATGTAATGCAGCACCAACTGAATCAAATAGGCATTGATGGCGGCAGAAGAGAGGGGTATAGTGAGACAGAAACATTGCAGTTTCTGAGCAAAACACACTTTCAATCTCCAAGCTCACTAAAGGCTAATGAAATGCACAGATATGGACCATTCATGAAATCCGGTGAACCCCAAATGTCTCGAATGTTTCCCCCATTGCCCAGCTTATCAAATTATCAATTGGTATCGATAATTACGCTCAATTTCATCATTTTGTAACCCTCCCAGACCCCCATTAATGGGTACGACCAACTAAAAAATTGGGTTTTATTTTTGAGCTCAAATTTCATTTCTATATTGTAGATCCAGTTTCCAAGCAGCAGCAACAATGGAGGTAGAGTCGGAGTCAGTGGAGAAGAGCTTTCTCTTTCTACAAAGAATCACCAGCAATGGCAATCCAATCCTCCTCAGTTATTTGCAACTGCTGCAGCATCATCAGGATTCCAACAGCAGAGTGTAAGACCTCAAAATTGGCTATTGAGACCTTCCTGACCCTTATTATTATTATTATTATTATCAAATCAAAAATCCTCCAACTTGTGATCAATATACTACAATGTTTTTGAGTTTCTTCTTTCTGCCTAGTATATAACTAGGGTTCTTAAATAGAACCAGGAAAGAAGAGAAAAAAAATGGCTCCATCTCTTTGGGAAATGTTGGTCATTTGGTCAAACAAACAAAGGGTCGAAATCTCAAATAGATGTATTTTTGGATTTTGACTTGTACAACTGCTGATCTACATGCATATCTATATCTAGATACATGTTATAGTTTTGCCACCCTCTCTTATTTATGACACACCTATCTTTGATTCTTAATGTACCCGTATAATTACTATGGTTATAAATACCATGTCCTACCTGCTCATATACTGAGTAGCTGGTGTGGTTTTTTTTTTTTTCTTTTTGATTTCTTAGTTTTTCCCTTAAACTTTGTTGTGTAGTTATGCTTGCTTCTTTTATATATCTTTTTTTAGCTAATTTTTTTTATTATTTTTGTCTACTATTATGGTCGTAAATCTGTCTGACAGATTGTGTATTGTGTAGTTGCCTAATCGAGTAGTAATATCTGTAGTGCGTGTCATGAAATATGGACAAATCTTGCTTAGATTTGTAATTTGAAGGAGAGAGAGAGATTGGTCTCGGAAATATCACCTAATGGTGATATGATTTGTCACCATCGTTGGTGTCCTTTTTAGTCAGTTCTCATTACCAAAAGCAGTCAGACATGGCTATTATGGCGAGAGGGACCTAACCTAAACCTGAAGCTTTAAAGGACTCCTCTATATATATATATATACACACCCACACATATACACACACGCGCTAGTTATAACCCAGGCAAGAAGATACTGTATAATTCAAAAAAATTAAAAATAGATCGTGAATACAAAAAAAATGAAGCACCGAATATGGACACTTAAAAGCCTAAATTCATGCTTAAAACACCTGCACTTCGCATGCATACTCCACAAAGCATTTAAATGAAATGAAAATTCTTGTGAAGATAAATTTCAATGAATAGATGAAGACAATTCAACTTTAATAGCGAAAGTCTCATAAATTTGAACTAAATTTAATTACATTTCAAGATTTATTTATTTATATTATTTATAAGCTTTTTTGATTGATCTTAACTACTTAAATTGTAACTAGACACTTGAAAACCAGTAATACGAAAAAAATCAAAAAAAAAAAAATCGAAGGAGAAGTCATAGTAGAGATAAAAACGATAGGAAAAGTCGCAAGTTGCGGTACTCATTATTTTTTAGATAGTAATTTTCTTATTATAATATAGATGGATTTAAGGGAATTTTATTCTTAGGATATAATGCTTAATATTTAAGACTATTAAAGGGTGCATTTTTTAGTAATCTTGAAATCAGAAATCAATCCGAATGAATCTCAAGAAAATATGGTACTAGAATTATAAGAATGAATAGAAACTTTATATTTATAATATTTCATACACCTCTTTCAATAGTTATAACTCTTTATTTAAATTTTAATAGATACTCTTATTCGAAAAGTTGTAACTCTCGTCTTCAACAAGGTACTTTAACCACCAACAAATGAGTAGTTATATAATTTGTCACTATCAGTAAATATTGGTATATATCTACATATGTAAACAAGTTGCATGATGACAAAAGGGTTCATTTTGGCAACCGCTTTAAAGGAATTTATATTTTATGAATATTGTAATTTTGACGTGAATAGTTTGTTTTTGAACGACTCAAAAAAAGAAAAAATTAGTTGATGTAGAGAGAGAGAGAGAGAGAGTGCATAGTGGCAAAAGGGTTCATCTTGTTTAAGAATTTTCCAGGAAGGTGTGCTAATAAATTAAGCAATCTTCTTTGTGGTAAGCTGTGTTTTTTTTAGAGTAAATTAAAAGCTGATAGTTAGCAGCATCGATAATCCAACCCATTTTTATACTCAACTTAAGCGAATTTGATTAAAGAAAGGACTGGACTTCATCACCTGGGACGTCATCTTCAACATATTTATGAACATAGAATATAGAGTCATTGTGCACCTCCGTTTGTTGGCAGTTTGTCATGAGGGATTGACATCTGAACAAAAGCACTATTATATTTTCAAACTACTTATCAAGGTGGATTGAATTTTTTCAGACCGAAGAGCCAAACAGGAATACATCTTTCAATATATATATATATATATATACATGGTAATTAATTCTCAAAGAAAAAAGGGTTGTATAATGAACTATGTATAAACTAGATTCTTGTGTCATTCAAATTTCTCAAATATATATTCTTCGAGAAAATAGAAAAGTTTATGAGATGAGGAGCGATTTGGGTTTGTTCATTTCTTGGCTAGAGACGATGATTTTTTGAGTTTTGAATTAATTTTTAAAAAATACTATCAAATCAATTCCAAACTTAATTTGAACATATCAAACCAAAAAAAAAAAATCAATCAGGAGCATATCAGACCATTTAATATGCTTAAGTTGAATCCAAAAATTAATTTGAATTACGAAAAAATAAAATAAATTCAAGCATATACGGCCGGAGGCATTTACCACGATGCGAACAAACTGACTGCGTCCCAAGATAGGTCGAGGACCAGCTTCCTAGATTCTTTCCTTCGCGTAGGATTTACGAAACACTGCCACACCCAGATCTCTCTCTCTCTCTCTCTCTCTCTCTCTCTCTCTCTCTCTCTCTCTCTCTCCATGTTTTTCTTTTACTCCGTGCAACTCTAATTAGAGCTGTCAATCTAATTGAGCTATCCAAGCTCGACTTGAGTTCGACTTATTTTAGACTCGTTTGAGTTTATTCGAATATCGTAAACAAGCCAAGTATAAACACAATTTTAGACTTGTTTATAAACAAGCCGAGCTTGAGCTCGAATTCGAGTTGCTTGACAGACTAGATTAAGTTTAACATTTTTTACCTAATTTTACTATTATGTTTTAGTAGTTCAATTATAGCGGTCCATTCCAAACCTCTATTGAAATCCAACGGTGAGGACAACATATATATTAACCTATCTAACCCAAATACATCCCAAACCCAAATCTAAAGGCGCCGTTCTCTGAAGCTGGAAGTGGTGAAGCCTTAACTCCATCTCTCGTCTGCTACAATGTCACTCCTCATCGATTCTTCAGTGATTCTTTGTCACCGTACAACACAAAAGGTCTAGTCCTCATAGTGATTGTTCGTAAAATCTCTCTCATCCATCTCTCAACCCAAAGATCAGGTACAACCCAAAATCTCTCATCCATCTCTTTCATTACAGTACATTTTTCGTCACAATACATTATGATTAAGTTTATTGAGGCATCAGAAGTTCTAAAATTTTATAGTTTCTTTTAATTGTGACAAATGCTACTACACTGTCCTGCATTCATAAGTTGTAGCTCTGACAGAAATAATATAATTATATCTTACCTTTTTTGTTTCTATTTTTGGAGGGGTAGTTTTTTGCTGATAAAAGCTTGTCAATGGCAATGCTTTGAATGTGGAACTCTTCCGAAATTTGTTGATCTCCACTTCATCTCCTTCCTGCTTCTTACTTATACAACGTTTGTTAATCGACCATCTGCTGTATTACTGTGTATATATTTCTCAGTCTACTACTACGAAATTCTAAATTTCTCAGGTATACTTCACCTTCATCTGTTGTGTTATTGTGTATATATTCTGTGGTTTTCTTTTATGCAATAATGCAAGCCTAGTTAGTTGATGGATTGGTCTAGCATTAGCTTCTTCCATATCAAATGTTTAGAAGAAGATTTGGAATATAATTGGTGTGTGGTGACTTTGTTAGTAGGGGGATTTGGTAACTTTATTTCTAATTTTATCTTTGTTTTGGTCAGATGACTTCTGATTTTGTGCCTCCTAGTACTATAAATGGTGGAAATCAAGAAACTATCGATAATGATGCTGCTACAATCGAAGGGCCTTCTGAAAATGAATCACTCCAAAAAAAATGTAGGAATAAGATCTCAAAAGTTTGGAATGATTTGGAGACAATATATGAAAATAGAACAAGAAAGGTCAAGTGTAACCACTGTAAAACAAGTTTTTCTTTGGGTCGAGGGCTCCCACAACTCATCTGAAAAGACACTTAGAAGTTTGTCCAATTCGTCAAACTTCTGTTTCTAGCCAAAAGAAAGGACTCACTCAACTATTGTTGGCTCTCTCCTCAACTGCTGCCAATGGGTTTGTAACTGTAAGTGGTGGGTTGGCAGCTTATATGTTTGACAAAGAGAAGGTAAGAGAAATTTTTGCAAAAATGATAATAATGCATGACTATCCTTTTAGGATGGTTGAACATGAATTGTTTGTGATGTTTCTTAAATCTCTAAACCCACATTTTGAGCCAATTAAACGTCTCACCATAAAAAATGATTGCTTGAAAATATATGCGAATAAGAAAATGAAATTGAAGAGAATGTTTTTTATTGTTGACTGAATTAACTTAAAAAATTATCTTAAACACGCCTTTTGTGACGATGAACACTACTGTCATAAAAAATTTGTCACAAAAAATTCTTATTCTTGTAATGCATGATGGGTACGAGGCTGAGACTGCTTTGTAGACTTCAAAGATGAGCGTTTCCTTACATTGGGATTTCCTTCAACGGTTTAAAACTATTTGGCGATTTGAATTTTTCTTTGGATTCGGACATATATATATATGACAAACACTGCACTTGATTCCCAGACTTAATGTAAAAAAAGTAATCTATTTTAATTTATCAAGTTTTAGGTCTATTTTTTTTTAAGTCGTACCTTAGAAACCCGACACAAAACTAATAAATTTAGATTTTGTGATGACCTGTATATAAAATAATCACTAGCACATTAATTTAGGTGGTCAATTATGATTTTATATAATTAAAAGTTATTTTTAAAAAAATTAAATAAATAAATGGACTCTTTATGTAAAAACAAGTCAAATTATTATAATTTAGGTCAAGTTTCGTAATAAGATAATGAATAAATATATCTATAAATATATATATAATGAATGAATATATGTGATAAATGAATATATATGTGTTGTATAAGTGTTAGACAACAAGTGAACAAATGAAAAACGTGCAAGAGGAAGGAAAAAAAAAAAAGGAAGAGAACATGGACAAGTGTCCATGTGAAGTGTCCATGTGATGCTTGGGGACCAAGAAAGAAATGGCTATAAATAGCCAAGTCGAGGCTATTTGAATGGCACGACACAGAAAAAGAGAG